GAAAATCCCTCAATGGAGATGAACCATTATAAGGGCCTATGAAGAGGGAGCTTGGAGGGAGGGTTAATTCCAATATCGTTGATGACTCTTTGGTTTACACTGGTCCTCCTCCTTTTCCTTCTCCTCCTCCTCCTCCTCCTCCTCTGGCTCCTCCTCCTCCTCCTGCTCTTCCTCGTCCTCGTCCTCCTCCTGCTCCTCCTCCTCAGGCTCTTCCTCCTCCTCCTGCTCCTCTTGCCTCCTCCCTCTCCTCTTCCTCCTCCTCTTCTTCCTCCTCCTCCTCTTCCTCCATCACCTCTCTCTATTCGTCCGCAGCCATTTGGCTCAAGGCTGTTTCGAGCCGGTCTCTTACGCACGTCGCTCCGATGCTGGGCTGTCGGGCCGGCCAAAGGTGTGCCGTGGCGCATGACGGAGGAAATCGCCTTGAAGGTGACCATGGGAGGCCAGCGGAGTATGTGCCAAAAACGGAAGGGAACGCGTGGGCCAGTAAGCCGGTGGCGAACCTGGGCCGGCGCCTCCGCTGAGAGCAGTGAGGTCGCCAATCCAGAACACGAAGGAGATCTTAGCGTCCAAGGGCATCAAGGCCGAGGGGGATCGCGCGCGCCAAGCAAAACGACGGGGAGGATTTGATCGCGCACGGGGAGTGTTCCGGTTCCCTCCCAGCACTGGTGCGGAGGAGCCCGTGGCGAGTGTGATGCCCAACGAGACGAGTGGGACACGTGCATCGAATCACTACGAAGCATTCGATGCACATGTGGAGCTGACACTCGCTCGCCCTGCCGGTACGGGGCACCTCGGGCGCGAGCCGCTCTCCAAGGGGCACCGAGGAGCTGGGGAGTTTCTCGTTGCAGGTGGCGGAGGACGGCCTGTAAAGCACGAGGCGGGCAGCACAGCGGCGTCCCCGGCTCATGGCGGCGCTCTCGGGGGCGGCTGCGATGCCGCGCAGGACGGCAGTCGTCTCGGCGTTGGGCCGCACGAGGGGTGCCTTCATGATGTCGTGCTTCCAGCCGACACCAGTTCTCAGGGCTCGTGGGAGCTGTCGGCTCAGTGGGGAAGGCCCAGGAGGTTGGTGTTGCTGCTTGGGCTGTCTGGGCCGCCCAGCCAGTGCGCCTGAATTTTGTGCGCGAGGTGTGCTGCCATGCGGACCAGGTGCTATCAATTTGTGTTGCTGGTGACGGGGGCTGCCAAATTCGTCGGCTTTTTCGGTCGTGTACGGTTTCGCAGTGGACTTATTCTGCGACAAGGCGAATGCACTCAGGCCCTGGTTGGGTTCACCCTCCCTCCAGGAGTATGTTGGGTAGTTCTGTTTACGATTGAAGCAATATTGAAACCCTTCTTCCTCTTTGGTGCCCTAACCCGAGCGGAGGCGTAGGATGAGGAAGGAGGCGAAGGCGAAGGCGAAGGCGAAGGCGAACGCCGGCATCGCGCGCGCTCCTCCGGGGAGCCCGCCCGTGCCCATCAGGGCATGGCGTGGAGGCCGTGGCCTCGACAAAGAAGATCACCCAAATATTCAGGCTTGTGAAACGTATGCCGGCTCACAGGATGTCCACCACTCTGTGCAGCAAGCGGCCCGATGAAGGAGCAGGATGAAGGAGGAATGAGGATAAGCCGTCGAGATGTAGACCACGACGTGGGCCATGGAATTCCCAACTCCTCTCACAGGACCGGCTTTCTATCCCCAGTCGTTTCTTGGCCGCCCAGTAGGAGCCCGGTGAGGCCCTTCAGGGCCAAACAATCAAGAGAAAACCAGCAGCAAACACTTGAGTACAAAACGCCCGTGCTGCTGTTTTTCATGACGCGGAGGGGGTCTGGGTACCCCCGGGCCCGAGGCGGCAGCGGAGGGGGGCGGTCTCCTGCTCGCGCTTGGCAGAGTTCGCCTTCACCACGGCCAGCCTCTTCTCCTCCTCTCGCAGGGATGCCGCGACCATCTCGTCGTCGAACTTTTTCTTCTGGATGCCTGCCGAACGGGGATGACCGGGCGGCCGAGGATCGAGGATCGAGACGGGCCGAGGGTGGAGGATCGAGGAGGAACGGAGTCGACCATGGATGGTGGATGGAATAGAATCGAGAGGGATCGAGGATCGAAGGAGCGTCGAGGAGGTACGAGAAGGATCGAAGGAGGATCGACGAGCTACGCGGATCCGAAAGGATCGGGATCGAAGGAGGAGGATCGAACATCGATAAAGACCGAAGATGATTCAGCATCGAGGCACGTCGAGAAGGATCGAGCATCATGGCTGATCGAGGATCAAAGATCGAGGAGATTCGAGGCGGATTCGGGATCGATGACCGAAGAGGACGGAGGATGGAAGATCGAGGAGGACAGTCTCACAATCTCGCGTCGAGAAATAATGCGACAAATGTTTTGGTTTGCAATGCTCTACCTCTGGGGGGGGGCCTTCACTGGGCCCCGGGTCCCGGGGCATTCCAAAAACGGGATAGTTGGGACGGAGTCTAGACCTCCAGGTGGCCATGCTTTTTCGTGTGTGTGTATGTATATGTATATGTGCACATATTCATTACACCAACGAATCGAAAATCCCACCAGTCCTCTGGGCGCAGGTGGTCTAACGAGATTAACCTTCCATCTTCCAAAAAAACACTCGTCCCCTACAGGAAGGGGCTTACCCCTCCCCTTACCCCTCCCCTGAGCTTTTTGGGGGGCCCCGCGAGGTGTCAGGGCGTCCAGAACGGCCTCGGCGAGAAAGCCAAAATCATTGGTTTTACTAAGATTTTGGCCCCATGTTGACCTCTTTGGGGGGGGGACTGAACGTTGGGCGACCAGCCCTCTGGGCGCCAAAATCATTGGTTTCACTCAGGTTTTGGCCCCATTTTGGCCTCTTCGGGGTGGGGCTGAACGTTATCCCACCAGCCCTCTGGGTGCCCAATCATTGGTTTCACTTAGGTTTTGGCCCCATTTTGGCCTCTTTGGGTGGGAGGCTGAACGTTATACCATCTCCTCCTTTGATCGATGGCCTTCAAGATGGCCCCAAGAGGCCTTCCAGGGCTCCCAATGGGGCCCCAACAGAGCCCCAAGAGGGTCCCAAGACCCCTAAAGGAGCCCCAAGAGAGCTCCAATACCCTCCCAAAGAGCCCCAGGAGAGCTCCAAGAGGCGATTTTGAGGGTTCCTGGGAGGGGGCCGAAATCGAGGGTCCACATCTTTTGGTCGATGCTCTCCTAGATGGCCCCAACAGGCCTTCAAGGGCACCAGCCGCAGCACCAGCAGAGGCAGCAACAACATCAGCAACACCAGCAGCAGCAGCAGCAGCAGCAGCAGCAGCACCACCACCAAAAAACACTCTTTGGATCCCTCCACCTCCTCCTCCTCCTCTTCCTCCTCCTCTTTCCCTCGCCCCCACGCGGCCCCCAAGGATGGCCCGAAGAGGCCTTCCAAGGCCACCCCCTTGCTCCCAGAGATCTCTCGGTTCATCCTGGTTGCTCGCTCTGTTTCCCTAGATGTGTCCCTTCGTCCCTTTTCCCGTGGGCAGGGCTACTGTAGATGGGCTGGTGGGGATTTTTTCCTCGCGGCCGCAAGCGGAAGCGCAGGCGGCGTCCAAAGTCAGCTCGGGCTACGAGCCAAACCTAATTCCCTAGGCGAGCAAGCGGCGGCTAAGATGCCGGCGGAACGCCGAGGGGTGACGCCGGGGGCTGGCTGCAAAGCTGCAAGAGAGGCCAGGGGCGCCAGGTGGCGGAATGCAACCATCCCTGGGAGGGACCACCGGGGGTGTAACGAATTGAACCTTGTCGCGCCAAGCGCCAGAGGTGAATGAGCCGTCTGCCAACAGTGGCAACCTCAGACGGGAACACGAAGGCTGGACCACTCATGTGCAAACCACGAAGAGGTGCATACCACCAAAGCGAAGCGGCAGCTGCAGACACGGCCAGGCTGTGGCGGGTGTCTGGAGACCAGGGGCCAGGAGCATGCGGGCATGCAAGCTGGGGCTGGCCGACGTGCAAGCCACCGGGACGCCAGGGTAACCCTACCAGACTCAATAGAGCCAGCACGTACACCAAACGTTGCCAGGAGCAGGGGGCGAGAGCCCGGGAGCCGCAACCAGGCTGTGGTCGGCGGCAGGGCGGCGGTGGCCAGGAAGGGGCCAGACGGCGCCAAGGGAGGCGGCGCGGACAGCAGCTGAAGGCTGAGAAAACCCTGGCCAAGTGCTACCGGCGCGACAAGCTGGTGGGGATACTTTTTTTTGTCAGCGGCCGCGGGCGCGCGCGCTGGCGGCGAGTCCAGTCAAAGCGGGCCACGCAGCGACGAATTAACCTAAGGCGACGGAGGGAGTCAACTGTGGAGGCGTATGGCTTTCGTGCGAGCAGAGGGAGCTACAGGTCAAAACCGAGTATCGTCAGATTCAAGCATGCGGGCTTACATGTGACACAATCGATGTGGTACCAGAGCGTGTGGTTTAATGTTGGACTATTCACCGTGCGAAATCATATGAAACCTTCCGCCTTCACATGAATTCCTGTAGCATTTGCAAGTTTACGGTGCCATGTGGAAGCACACGGCGTTCGTAGAATTCTCATGTTCATATTTGATCGAATACAGTCGAGCTGGGAGCATGTGGCTGCTAGATGACAATATACGTGCACGTGTATGGAGCAGTCTATAAATAGTTTGTCCTCTCTGTCCTGTACGTGAACAATTCGCATACATACATGGTTCGACATCATATTATAACTATGTGAATTCAGTCGGAAAACATAACATTTCCCCACACGAAAGCATAATACTGTCCATCCAGAAAAGGGCGTGGACTCAAATGTGGAAACGTGATGCTTCCGTGCGGAAGCAGACGTACCAACATTCAGCAACTGGTGGCTACCATAGTTGAGTACGCAGGCAAAGATCTATGCCATAGGGTTTGATATGTACGCGTGTCCGTTTTGTAACAAATGACACCGTATGATGTCATATGAAAGAGCGTGTTCTGCCGCTGCTGGCAGAAACCAGGGGGGTCACTGGGGGTTTCAAACCCGTTCCCCTCCCCCTCGAAAACCGAGAGGGGTCACTGGGGGTTCCAAACCCGTCGCCCCCTCCCCCCCCCGGTCCATCATGAAAAGCAGGGGGGTCACTACCGGTTCGAACCCCCCCCTCTCCCCTCCGGTTGAAGAGTGGGGAGAGTGGGACAGTGGTGGGGACAGTGGGGACAGGGGGGAAAGTGGGACCGTGGTCGGGACAGTGGTGGGACAGTGGGGACAGTGCGACAGTGGTGGGGGTACTGGTGGGGACAGTGGGGACAGTGGTGGGAACAGTGGGGACAGTGGGACAGTGGCCAGGACAGTGGGGACAGTGGGACAGTGGTGGGGACGGTGGTGGTGGGGACAGTGGTGAGGGGATGGTGGGACAGTGGTGGGGACAGTGGGACAATGGTGGGGACGGTGGTGTGTTGGGACAATTGTGAGGGCGGTGGTGAGGACTGGTGGGGTGGTGGGAGAATTAGACAGTTGTACAATGGGGACAGTGGTGGGGACAGTGGGACAGAGGTGGGGACAGTGAAGACAGTGGGACAGCGGTGGGACAGCGGTGGGGACAGTCGGGACAGTGCGACAGTGGTGGGGACAGTGGGGACAGTGGGACAGTGGCGGGGACAGTGGGGACAGTGGGGAAAGCGGGACCGTGGTGGGGACAGCGGTTGGGACAGTGGGGATAGTGCGACAGTGGTGGGGGCACTGGTGGGGACAGTGGGGACAGTGGTGGGAACAATGGGGACAGTGGGACAGTGTTGGGGACTGCGGCAACAGTGGGACAGTGGTGGAGAAGGTGGTGGCGGGGACAGCTGTGAGAGCGGTGGTGAGGACGGTGGTGGGGACCCAGGAGTCGTTTGCCGGCGGCGAGTGGGGTGGGTGGGGGGGCTCGAACCGCTAGTGACCCCTCGATTTTCCAGGCGGGGGGGGAGGGGGGGGGTTCGAACTGGTAGTGACCCCCCCCAGTGTTCCGGAACGGGGGGGGAGGGTTCTCTAGCCGGGGAAGGCGGGGAGGGGGGGGTTCGAGCAGGGGGGGGGATGTTCGGAGGGGGGGGGGGACCCCCGCGTTCTGGAGGGAGAGGGAGGAATTTTCCACAATGAAGCGGCGGTGGATCCCGCTCTCTCTGTCATATGAGACCATCTGGATGTGCGTGTGTAAGAGGCGTGCGGCTTGCAAAAGGAAGTGTGGCACCTCAAAAAGATGGTACCCGTATGCTTTTACACAATCATATGTACACAAACGAAGTCAATGCGGGAACATGCAAATGAAGCGGCATAAGGCCACGTGGTTGCTTACAAAACTACATGCGCATGATTCGCAAACATGTGTAGTTCGAGTTCGCATGGCAGCGATGCCATTATATGTGTGATCGCATGGTGTTTCCCTGTAAGAAGGCGTAATACAGTCCATTCGGAAAGGGCGTGGACTCAAAGGTAAATACACATGTCTTTGGCGCGAGCGCAGAGCTTCCGAGCGCCTCAAGGCGGTTCTCGGATCAGGACTCCCCTGGAGGGCCCCACCCTGGCACATTCCAGATTTTGCCCAGGTGGTGTCGATGACACACGAGTGTACCGCGACTGATCATCTTGTCGGTCACGGGACCCTTGATTGCCAAAACAACAGAGGGGAGGGCTCTCGGGCGCCCCATGCGGGCTCCGCGGCGTTGCAAGAGGGTTCTCAGGCGTTGCAAGAGGGCTCTCGGGCGCCACAAGAGGGCTCTAGGGCGCCCCAAGAGGGTTCTTGGTCTCCCCAATACGGCTCTCCGGCGCCCCGAGAGACACTTCCAAACTGCCTTTTGGTCCTTTTCTCGGCTTTCAGCCCTCCTGCCAGGGATTCCTTTGTCTCTCTGGCACCCCCCGCCCCCCCTGCCCCCAAACGATATTTTGGACTCCAGGCCAGGGGCAAATGGGGAGTGGTGCGGCCACAGTGTCTCACACGCCTTGTTCCGTACCCTCGGCAAGCGGGGTCGGCTAATTTTTGCACCTGGATGCCCTCTTGGGGCCCTGCTGGAGCCTCTCAGGGGCTATTTCGGGAATCTTGGGGGCGTGTGAGGGCTATCTTCGTTGGAAGGGATCCCGAAACCTCGTGGACTTGGCCCCTCACGCTTCGCGTATCCTCACCAGAGAGGTATGCGGCTGCGGCCACCCTGGGATTTGCAGCCTGCCAACGCTTTCGCCCCCTGGCTTTAATTCTTTGACCGACGGTCCTTCGGGCCACCCTGGTACTCACGCAATTGTCCGGGGTTGCGTCCTTACATTAATTTCGGCTTCTGGCCCGGGTCATCGTGTGTCCTGACTCCCTGGTGTCCGACGCTTTGCATACTTGCACGCTGGCAGTTCGACTCCGTTTCAGCTGTCCCCCCACCCGCCGGTCCGCCGCTGGGCTGCTGCGTGAGGGCTCGGTTTGCCGCTGTAGGTGTGGCCCCCACGCCACGCCCGCATGGACTCCTGGACGGTGCATGCCTCCGTGTGGGAGGCCCTGCGCGCGGGGGGCCGCCCTTCCCCGCCTGTGAAGAGCTTGAAGAACTCGCAGAGCACCAGGCAGCCCAGCGCTCCTCGCGCGGCGCCGAGCAGGCCGGCCGCCGGCCGCCGCCGGGGAGGGCCGGCCGCCAGCTGCCGCCGTCCCGGCCGGGCGCGGCCGGCCCGGACGGGTAAGACGAAGCCAAGCTCGGGACAGAATCGGGCCTGGGACAGATCGCCCCCCAGAGGCCCCGCCCGTGCCCAAGCTTCCGCACGTCAGAACAGTACGCAGGGATCGACACCCCAAGCAGCAGCTGTCGAGCCTCTCGGTTGCTCCGGGAGAGGGGCCGTCACCGTGACTCCATGCGCCCTCTACACATCACCGCATCCGGCTGGCGCGCTCCTGAAAATCGCAACCCCGATCCTACCAGAGCAAGCCGCCTGGTCCTCCAGCCTTTCCACGCCAGGTCCACAGATTGGTTCAATCTGCGGACTGACATGGCGATATGAACAGTCACACTCAAGACATGAAAAACTGACCCGGAGAACAACCCAAGAGGAGACCAGACCAGCCACACCCAGGGGGATCTGCATTTCTTTGTTACCCTCCCCAGGGAACCCGTCGTAACGATGATACCCCTCGAACGTGGTATCAAAAGCCAACGAGTCGCCTAGCAGGGTAGAAGCATGGCTCCCCAGCTGTGGCCAGCCTGGAGTTGCCACAATATTGAAAACCTCCAGAATGAAGGTTCGACCTCCATTCTGGAGGTTGTTCTCCCTCCACTCTGGAGTGTTCTTTGGGCTCCCTTTGATTATGTGAGGGCTCTGGGAGGCCAACTTAGGTCTGCGTGCGTAAGGCGGCCGTGTGGGGTCGTTGGGCGTGCGTGAGAAGTGTACGTTGGCATCCTGTATACTGATGCTTTTGAGCATGGTTAACTAATGCAGAGCGGCCGTTTTGGGTATGGCCGTTTTGAATATGGTCGTCTTGGGCACGCCTAAACAAGTCTCTACACAACTTAACAAAGGAAACCCACAGTTTGCTCTTCCTCCGAGGTGGAGGGTAGCGAGCTTGGGCGCACTGGCTCGTTTTGGGAACGATCACGTGGTGGATGCGTGCACAATGATGTGATTCTCTCCAGAGGTTTTCGGCCCAGCGGATGCCTGAGAGGTGACCAGGGACGAGGCTGGACGACGACGTCGACGGACGACGACGTCGACGGACGACGTATGGTAGCGGACGACGAACGACGACGTGGTCTCGGCGGAATTCGATGGGGTTCTTTCTAGTTTGGCTGCGGGTTGTTGGGTGGGGTCGTGCCGTGGCGGATGACGGTGCAGTCAAAGTTTGGCCGTGAGGAGCCCTCGGTCAGGAGTGAAAGCCCCTCTGAAGCCTCACCTACGCCCAAATGCACGAGGAGCGCCAAGGGAAACCCCACGGAAGGGGCTACGGAACATCGAGCACCTTGCGAAACCAGAGTGGACATTACCCGACTATAGTTATCAGCCCCCCCAGGGACCAAGAAATCCACGAGGGATACCGAGACGGCAATGAGCGGACGACCATGGACGACGAGCGAAGGACGGCGACGACTTGCGACGACCGACCGACCGACAACGGAATATGGACGAAAAGACGACGACGACGACGACGACGACGGAAGACGGACGACGGACTGCGACGACAACGGCGATGAGGACGACGGCGACGACGACGGCGGACGGCCGACCGAAGGACTACGATGGCGACGACGACGACGACGACGACGACGACGAGGACGACGACGACGACAACGACGATGGACGACGATGACGACAACGACGACGACTGGCGTCGACAAGGGCGGCGGCGTTGGCGGCGCGGCCACAGGGGGCGGCGGGGCTCCCAGGAAGGCCGCGACCCAGCCCTCCCAGCCGATGATCGTGCCGTTGAGCTGCAGGATGGTATCGGAGAGCCCGGGAATCTAAGGGGGAGGGAAGCGAAACGAACGCCTGAATCATGTGTGCTCCTCTGGTGAGCCCTCCCGTGCCCATTCGGGCATGGCGTGGAGACCGCAGCATCGACGAGCACGAGGAGTAGACGGAGAGACGAGTAGGCGGAGGACAAGGAGGATGAGGACGAGGGGGATCGAGAAGGAGGATGAGGAAGAGGAAGAGGAGGAGGAGGAGGAGGAGGAGGAGGAGGAGGAGGGAGGAGGAGGAGAGGAGGAGGAGGAGGAGGAGGAGGAGGAGGACGACGTCGTGGCCATCGCCGTCGTCGTCGATTGCGGCGGCAATGGCGCTGGAGAGTACAGAAATCCGAGGGGGGTGAGTAAGGCTGCTGCTGCGCCCAGCTCCTGTAGCCATTGCATGCAGTCAGAACCTTGGGATAAGGTCCCTTGCCTGGTTTCGAAAGAGACCCAATGTTCCATTGGTCCGTCCGTGGGAATTCTCCTGGAGTTCATCGTGCATCTGGTCGCAGCCGAGGCCCAGAAGGGGTCCCGATCTTTGCCCGAACTTTCTCGTGGACAAAAACTGTAGAAGGTCGACGCCCGAAGCAGCAATCAACAAGCCTTGCCGTCTTTCCCAATTACTTGGATGGCCGCGGCGGCTGCTAGGTGGTTAGCGCGGATACTAAGGGGTTAGAGGATTTAGTATGTACGTACAAGTGAGTTGTAAGTAGGTTATAAGTGTTGTAAGTCGGATGTAAGTTGTATAACCAGCTACAACTGGTTAGTAGGATATACTAACCACTTATAGCTGGAGGCTAACCTTGCTAAGTCTCTAGTAGAGGTTAGCTCGCTAAGTCCCCACTCTAGCTGCCACTTACTAACCACTTAGTAACCACTTAGCTGCCACTTAGTAACCACCCAGTAACCACTTACTAACCACTTAGTAACCACATAGTAAGTCCGCTAGCTAGCTTACTTACTAAGTGGTTAGCGGACTTACTAAGTGGTTAGCGGACTCTGAGAAGGAGAAGGAGGAGGAAGAGGAGGAGGAGGAGGAGGAGGAGGAGGAAGAGGAGGGGGAGAGAGGAGGAGGAGGAGAAGGAGGAGGAGGAGGAGGAGAAGGAGGAGGAGATGTCGAGGAGGAGGAGGAGTAGGAGGAGGACGGGGAGGAGGATGAGGAGGAGGAGGAAAGGGGGAGGCGGCGGCGGAGGCGGCGACGGGCGCGCCTCAGCCCAAGACGGCCGCTCGACGCGGCGGCCCTGCAGGGCCGCCGCGTCGAGCGGCAGCCTGGCGCGGCTGAGCGCGGCGCAGGCGAAGTTCGCCTGCGCCGCGCTCTGCGCCGCCATCTCCAGCGGCATTGCCGCTGGCGCGGGCGGCGGGGGGGGCCCCGCGCGCCGCTCGGCAGCCAGAGCGGCCCACCGCACGTAGCCGTCGTCCACAACCCAGAGGGTTGGGGGACGACGACGTGCGACGGGCCGATGGCTGCCGAGCCCGTCCCACCCCTCGGGGATGTCGAGGAGGATCCCCGACATCCCCGAGGGGTCCTCCGAGAGGAGACTGCCCCATGGCTCGGGGTCGCCATCGAAAAACATGTCTTGATATGTTTTTCGATGGCGATCCCGAGCCGCGAAGCAAAGGGGAAAGGGAGGGCGCGCCCCCCGCGCGGCCTGTAAGCCGCACGCGCGCGGGCGGCGTCTCCTCCTCCTCCCTCCTTCTATCCTCCTCCTCCTCCTCCTCCTCCTCCTCCCTCTCCTCCTCCTCGTCCTCCTCCTCCTCCTCCTCCTCCTCCTCCTCCTCCCCTCCTCCTCCCTCCGCCTCCTCCTCTCGCCCTCCTCCTCTCGTCATCATCATATACCCTCCCTCGTCCTCCTCCTCCTCTCATCCTCCTCCTCGTCCTCCTAACCCTCCGCTCCTCCCGTCCCATCCCTCCTCCCCTCATCCCCTCCTCATCCTCCTCCACCTCCTCCTCCTCCTCCTCCTCCTCCTCCAGCTCCTCTCTCTCCTCCCTCCTCTCTCTCATCCCCCTCTCTCTCCTCCTCCTCATCCTCCCTCCTCCTCCTCCTCCTCATCCTCCTCCTCCTCCCGTCCTCCTCCCCTCCCCCCCCCCCCCCCCCCCTCCTCCTCCCCATCCTCCTCTCGCTCTGAGCTATCTCGTCGTTTTCCTCCTCCTCATGCTCCTCCTCCTCCTCCTCCTCCTCCTCCTCCTCCTCCTCCTCCTCCTCCTCCTCCTCCTCCTCCTCCCCCTCCCCCTCCCCCTCCTCCACCCTCCCCCCTCGTCAGAGGAGGAGGGGGAGAGGAGAAGGGGGAGGGGGGGCAAGATGAGGAGGAGGAGCAGCAGTAGGAGCAGGAGGAGGAGGGGGAGAAGGGGGAGGATGAGGGGAGGGAGGAGTTTGAACGACCGCACCACTGATCAACGACATTAGCGCCGCAGCGCAAGATGAGGAGGAGGAACGAGGCGGAGAAGAGGAATCGGCGACCATGCACTGTTCAGGTGCTGCAGCACCGAAGTGTCAATGAAAAAGGTGCGCTACAGCGCAATGCAGAAGGAATCCACGCTTTCAAGGCGGAGAAGAGGAGTCGTCGACCATGCAACGTTCAGGTGCTGCAGTACCGAAGCATTTAGCAATGTAAAAAAGTGCGCTGCAACGCCAGTAAGGAATCCACGTTTTAGGCTAAAGCGCACCACCGCGGCTGCGACCATATCGGGCGCGCCGCTCGGATGCCGCCGCCCTCGCGCGGCGCCCACGCGAGCGAGCACACGATGCTCGCCGCGTGCGCCCAAAAGGCGTCGGCATCGCCGCCAAGCACGTGCGCGGAGGCGCGCGGGTGCAGCTTCTCCTTGAAGAAGTAGGGCAGGACCAAGCTCAAGCCATAGTAGTGGCCGTTCTTGATGAAGGAGAGGTGTTTCAACACCTCGGCCGCAATGTGTTCCCCTCCTCCGTCCTCCAACAGCACGACGTCGCCGTATTTGACGTCGTGGTAGCGGCACCGCGCTGCAGCGGACGTAACAAAGTCCGCAGGCCCGAACTGCTGCAGCAGTTCGCGCGAGATGGCCTTGGACGGCCTGGTGGCGTTAACCAGGCAGTTAACCTTAAAGGTGTCGCCATCCATGAGCTGCCACAGGTGCCGCTCGGTGACGCTCTTCAGGACATTGGCGTCCCAGCCGCTGGAGGCTGCAGCCCCCGCCTGAAGAGCGTTCACAAAGCGCTTGCTGGTCTTGCGCTTGCGCTCCAAAACCCAGCGCGACGGCAGCGCCACATGGCCCCAACGCCTCACGTAGTTGGCGAAGTGGTGCAGGTAATGGAACTTCTGCGCCATCGTTTCCTTGCCAAAGACGCTGCTGTATGACAGCATAAACCTGTTAACCGCAGCCTGCAGCTTATCCGCGTCTGCCTGACGCCTGGATACTCGAGGATTTCTTCCACAACGATCGCGTGCGCCTCGAACACTGCGCAAGCCGATCGGACTGCAGGCGCTGCAGCGTCGCTAGCCACCTCCCTGAAGAAACACGTCAATCCGCCCGCGCGAACGCATGTCCGAACAAGAGGGGTGCAGTACATATCCTACAGAAATTCACGCGCGCTGCAGCGCATGTATTATTGGTCCGGCGGGGGCGCGAAGCATGCAATGATACTTGCATGGTTGTGAGCCCCTCGCTGGCGGTACACTTGAAATGCTTGCTGTCAACGTGGGACCTCACGCGCTTCTCGCCGAAGATCGCGTACGTGTCGGGGGAGATGGAGTGGCACCCTGGAAACGACCAGTCCTGGAAATATGCGTCTGCGCGCGCCCAGTAACCCTTCAACCTTCGAAACATTTGGAACACCAGAATGTTATATGTACCGTTGACGAAAATGCAATGCATCCAATCAAACATGACTGTCTCGAGCGGCTTGAGTTTCCGAACCCGCTCAGGCAAATGGGGGTCCCAGTTCCAGCCAAGTCGGCGCTCCAACTCCTGGAACTCGCCCTTGTTCATGATGTTGACCCCTTCGATCAATCTGTTGCAGATGGCATCGAGCAACGGCGCCGTCATCGGCTGCAGCCGCGACGCATCTGGTTCCGAGTGGTGAACAGCGACACCCGTCGCATCAGAAGCAACTATATCCCGAACTTCGCCCTTCAAGAACACGTTGCGGCACATAAAACATGGTTTGATTCCTGACGAACCTTTCATTCCGATCAAGCGGTGTATTGCATCCTCGTCCGCGATCCGACAGAGCCGCTGCAGCGACGCAAGAAGGCGTAATGGATATATACATGTGCACATGTATGCTAACTAATCTTGGGTGCTATGCGGCGACCGCTGCAGCGGCTGCATGTAAATTCCGAGGTCCATCTGGATGAGCTCCGTCGCGCCGTCGGGGCGCAGCCGCAAGCTGATGCCTGCGCTGAAGTTGCGCCCCTGATCAGGCCAGAACTGCGCGAGGATTGCGTCCAGTAGCATCGTCAGTCCGCGCGGCTGGATGTCGTTCGCGGTCTTGGCCCGCATCGTCGCGAGCTGGAACCACGCATCCTGCGAACAAATCGCAGCACAACTGGCGCTGCAGCGCCTCTCTCTCTCTCTCTCTCTCTCTCTCTCTCTCTCTCTCTCTCTCTCTCTCTCTCTCTCTCTCTCTCTCTCTCTCTCTCTCTCTCTCTACCCCCCTCCCCCCCCCCGCATATATCGTTGCTGCAGCAACGCTATCGCGAAAGTCCTCCGACGAAAGCGCCTGCGGGCCGAATTCCGCGATCGTCCAGTAGATGCCCCAGGACTTGCGGTTCTGCACGTGCGCCAGCGCGTTGCCAGCGCCTATTTCATCGCCGTAAATGATGATGTGCCACGGGCGTGGCAGCTCCAGCGCCCGCTGCCACAGAGGCTGCATCGCGGGGAGGGCGCTGCAATACCACAGCATTGCTGCTGGACTGCAGATCTCCACCGTGTGCTGCCCGACTATCATGTTCTGGTGGAGCTTGCCGTACGGCGTGTTCTCACCGACCATGAGCTCCCGAGCGTCTCTGATATCCTGGCGTCGGGATCCCAATTCGGGGAT